AGAAGGGCCCAAAGGAGATCTCTCAACCAGGACAATATGGTCATTAGTATCTAATTACCTAATCTATTTTTTCATTACACTGTTGGCTTTGTATGTGACTCAAGTGCTATAATACCTCTTAACTTGTAGGACTAGATCATACATATACATTTATCACAATAACTAAACTTATTAATCCTAAAATGTGATGTAGTGGATCGTCGGAAGAATCGACCTGCAAGAAGGATTTTAATCCCACTCTAGGGAACAAGGATAAACTCAAGCTTAAAGCTTCAAAGAGATGTAATATTTCATTCAATGTCTTTCCTACTACAATACTTGCATATTTATAAGCTAATAAGAACTTTCTAGAAGCTAGTAGTAACAAACTTAGATAGCATATTCCTAAAGCTGCATTAGTTAAGATGCTCCTACATCATACTCTCCTTGTGTCAGAAAAGCTCGACTCCGTCGATATGATAATAATCAACGCGCCATCAAGAAGGAGGTAGGCATAAAACTCATAACCATATCCCTGGATCAAAGTTTATGCGTCTCTCAACGAAAGCACCATCTTTCCCGATCTTTTCCAATTGTTTGATACCCAGTCCATTAAATTCTTGAACATTTGGTAAAGCATCTTGAAGAATTGGTCTTCTTCCACATGCAACTTCAAACAAAAAGACCACAAATGCATATATATCTGTGGAGGCAGTTGCCCCGCCATTTTTGCTGAACTCTGTAGCAATATAACCAAAGGTTCCAATTACAGAAGTTTCCTTAGGAACATTTCCATGATCATATAATCTTGAAAGGCCACAGTCTCCCACTTTTGTTGTTAGATCATCATTTAATAAGACGTTTCTAACAGGATTGAAGCCTCTTACCTTATATGCCACTAGCCCATTGAGGTATTCAGTGATCAAATTGTTTCCTGGTAAATCTATATTTTCCTTGTTGTTTGAAGTTGCATTAGAAGGGTTATTTTCCCCATCTTCAGCAAGACAGATTCTTTGATGAAGCTCATTAAGCATTTGAACAATTTTATTTATAGGCCCAAGAGCAATACAACAATGTCGATAAGATCCCCTTCTTCAACCATTGCAGAGTGTCCCAGTCAACCTCTTCCCTAATGAGAGCCTCCTCATATTGCCTAACAAATTTGGGATCAGATCTATCAATGACATTTCGTCGAGCAGCTTGCCTGCATTGTGCTGGATCAATTTTATCCGTAGAATTTAAATAGGGCATTTTAACTCCTGCAGAAAGAACATTCCCAGTACCACTTCTAAAGGCTTTGCCTTACACTTTCCTACCATTTGTATATTTTTGTTATGCTAAGGGCATGAAAACCGTTACTTACCTCCAATAAGAAAGCCGCCTCCTTAGTCGGGATATTATTTGGAAATGCGGTCACATAAGCATGCAGATTTTTAGCTAGCCGAGCCATGCCATGCATTTGTTCATCATCCAGAAAAGCATCAAATTCTCGTCTTAGTAGCAGCTTCCTAAGCGCATCCTTTCCCTTGCTATTAATCTGCATAAAAACTCTCATAGCATCAGCCACGGGGATCGGATTTTGAGGCATGGCCTCCATGAAGACATTATTAGGCAGGCATTTTGCTATGCTTTGCATTTGGATCTACATCAGCTTGCTCGCTAAGACATGGATTCCACCTAAGGACATGTTTATTTTTGAAAGAAAAGGATGAGCTGCTAACATCTTCTCTGCTACACGGGCCTCCTCATATGTCTCTGAATTGAGGCCAATGTTGACATCGTCAGCTGTGACTTTCTCAAGAAGGCCCTCCGATGACTTGTTAGTCCTGGTAAATACTGCAAGTGTCCTTTCGCTGGTGCAGTCGTCCTGTTGTGACATCCGGATGGACTCACACGTAGGGAAGTCGCCACATACAGAGAACACATGATGTACGAGCTCGATCTAGCGTTATGTCCGACGACGTGGGTTGTCTCTCACCGGATTCAGACGTCGCTCCAACCAAAGAGTCCAAGCTGGCGATAGAGGCGGAGGAATTAGATTTGATAGTGGAGGGATCGCCGGATAAGAGTGGCAGCGGCAGTTGCAGATCTGTGGGCGGCGGAGGCTCTACGAATGGCTCTTTATCGGCAATGTTATTATCAACAGTTGCTTTTTCTGGTTCTGCGGCAAGGGTCCAGTTTGCTTGAATCTTGGATCGTTCAAGTGAAGCATGGACTATGGGTTGTTGGTTGGCTGAGGGAGGCGGAATCTGGGTTATGTTATGGGAGGTGTCAAAGGGAAGTTGCGAATCTAGAAGCTGAAGAGGCCTGATGAACTGCTCTTCCTCGACAACATTAACATCAGCGGCGGAAGGATCATGTTGGAGCGGGGTGGGTTGTGCGGGCTTGTTGGGGAATCAAACAGATGAAGCCGGAATGGCCGGATTGGAAGCGAGCGGCAATGGAGAGTGATAGTGGTGAAATCTTGCATGAGGGGGTCGGGATTGCGAGTGTGGTTGTGAGACGAAGCACAAGAATGATCATGAGAGACTAAATGAGGCCGGAGTGGAGGCGAGTCGCGGACGAAGGCCGCGGGTTGATTGTGGACTAAATGGTCGGGCAATGGGTTTCGCCATTTGAGCGGAAGTTCAAGTGGAGGATACTCCAGTGGCGGATCTCGTCATTGGAGTGGAGTGGAAGTTGGAGAGGAGGGTATTCTGGCGGCGGATCACGCCATTGGAGTGGAAGTTCGAGTGGAGGATTCTTCCAACGATCAACTACATCAGTTGGTGTCAGAGCCTGGAGCTTGCAAAGATAGATGATGTAGGAACATCTTAACTAAATGCAGCTTTAGGAATATGCTATCTAAGTTTGTTACGACTAGCTTCTAGAAAGTTCTTATTAGCTTATAAATATGCAAGTATTGTAGTAGGAAAGACATTGAATGAAATATTACATCTCTTTGAAGCTTTAAGCTTGAGTTTATCCTTGTTCTCTAGAGTGGGATTAAAATCCTTCTTGCAGGTCAATTCTTCCGACGATCTACTACATCAAAATGGATGAGATGCGAGCTAAAAAACATAATGACATTCAACAAAATTGAACCATATTGAATCATGATTTAACCATCTCCGATAATGGTTGAACTATTTTGAATTATAATTGATGCATCTTTTGCCCATTGCATGGTTCTTCAAAATAACTTTTACCCACAATTGAGCATGATTCCAACCATCTTAAATATATGACAGCCTTATTAGAACATACTCAAATCTTCTTCTATCATTCTTCAAAAATAAAAATAATTTGGTAATGATATAAAAAAAATAATATTGGAATAAGACTATCATGCCTCAAACATTGTTTGAATATTGTTCATTATTAGGTGAAGATGTTTTTAGCACTTATGGAATGACGAAATTATTCTGCGCGGATGCCGAATGCTACCAAGAAACCAACCAGAATGTGCCACGTTACCTTCCACTCGATACCGCAGCTCAGTAATGTTTGGTACAGTGCTTGGTACCATTGATTTGACATATTCTCATTGATCTCTATATGATGAACTTCATTTGGCATCCACGTCGAATAATTTCTCCATGGAATGGGGCGATAATTTTTTTTTTTTGAACAGTATGGATAACATCGAAGTAATATTTTTTTTTTGGGGAATTTTGGAGCCTAAGCTCATGTATTAAAGAAAAAGCAGTTACAAGTAAATATCAAAGATGAAAAGGAAAGTAAACCCAGAAAAAAAAAAATACTCATGAGTCAGAACAAAGGAAAGAAAACATAGAGAAAAAACAATCAAAACATGGACTCAGGCAAAATAGAGAGCACCCAATCTACATATCAGCGTTCAGCAGTTGATAGGACTGAAGGAGGATACGAAGGCAACAGCCCAGTTGCCACAACAATCAAAACCAACCAACCAAACGAAGCAGGGCCGTCCAAGGGGCAGAGAAAATAACCAACAGTCCAGGATGCACTTTGATCATCATTGTCCCGTTCAAAAAACTCTTCAACCAGCCACCAAACAACAATAATCCACGGGCAGAAAGGGGATTAGAAAAGAGAGGAAATTTTCTGTTTTAGCACATCCACGTTATTCTAGCTATGAGTCTTCTTTCTAATAATGAACTTGATGTTGTCAACAACCAATTGGGGAGACAACCATGTGTTAGAGAAGCGCTTGGAATTCCTTTCCTTCCACAGATTATAAATGATATATGCCATAATAGAGTAGCAGAAATTTTTTTCCAAAGAAGAGTCAGAGTCCAAATCCAGAAAATCATAAACTTGAAATAAGTTAGGCCTAAGTAAAAAGCTCCCAAAGGCCGGAAAAATCAGCATAAGCATAGAAAATGAAAAATCACATTCAAAGAAAATGTGATGATGGGTTTCATTCCGGCAATCACAAAAGGAGCAATAGGGAGAGACGGAGAGGCCTCTACTTAAAAGAATATCAGCACATTTAAGTTTACTAGTAATGGCCATCCATGCATAACAAGCAAATTTGAGAGATCCCTTCTTGTGCCATATAAACTTATGCCAAGCCACCTCTTTCAGGTTAGAGTAAAAAACCTCAGTAAATTGTTTGAATTTAGGATTAGGCAAATCCTTCCAATTAGAAACAGTATAATCCTGAATGCCCACATTCTCAATAGCATTCCTAACATTAATCGGTAAACTAATAGGTAGAACCCAAGTGCCATGAACAAAAAAATCCTTAACCTCCCTGGAATAAAGCCGAGCATCACAAAAGGTTTCACCCAGAATAGAACCATCCAGCCAGGGATCCCACATAAAGGAGAGATTACAATTACGGCCAACAGAAAAGGAGAGGAACTGCTTGATTTTCAAAGCCACATCACAAACATCTTTCCAGAAAATAGAAACAGAGGTCATATGAGGTTTGAAAGGGGATTCAAACTTAGCTCTCAACCAAGAACTAACAAGGGAATTAGAGTTATACAGCCTCCAAATAAAAGAACAAGCCACAGCAAAATAAAAGTCATCAAACGTAAGAATGCCTAGACCTCCATATATTTAGGCTTAGTGATCTTATGCCAAGCAATGAGGTGCAGTTTCCTATCGAAGTAATATTTGATCATTGCCTCATTGGTCCTAGAAATATTTTGCAGCGAACGTAAATCCACCGGTTTTTATTTTCATCGCCGTTGCATCATCTCTATGTCGGCTCCAATTCCAACCCGCCAATGACCACCGTGCGGTGGCCGCGGGTGCTGAGCCCCAACTACCTTGCGATGCTTATTCGGCAGCAGAAGAACCCGCTCAACGCTCTCCACCTTTTCAACTCTGCCTCTCTTCGCCATCCTTCCTACCGCCACAATTCAGCAGTGTACTCCGCCATGGTCGACGCCCTCTCCTCCCCGCTCCGCCCTCACCTCCTTCTCCGTCTGCTTCATCAAATGTCACTCGACTCGTCACCTGCCCATGACCGCGTCTTCTCCCGCGCCATCCTTGCCCTAGACCGCGCCGACCACCACCAGGACGCCCTCTTCGTCTTCCGGCGTCTCATTCCCCCATCCAATTGCCCCTCTTCACCTCTCTCCCTCATCTCTCTTCTCAGAATTCTTCTTTCCCGCGGCCTCCTCCGCTCTGCCCTGCACCTTCTTCTCTCGCTGGGCTCCGACACCTCCCGACTCGGCACTCAAGGCATCAACCTCCTCATTGACGTCGCCTGCCGCCTCCGCCGTCCTGACCTCGCGCTCCACGCCTTCGCCGCCATTCGCGAGCTCTGCTGCTACCCCGATCGCGACACGTACCGTATCCTTATGAAGGCCCTCTGTGATGCCGGCTTGCTCGACGACGCCGTGCACCTCCTCTACTCCATGTTGTGGAGGATCTCTCGGAAGGGCTGCGATGCTGACGTCGTGGTATACCGCACGCTCCTTGAGTCCCTCTGTGCCGCCGGGAGGATCGAATTGGCCGAGGAGATACTTGGCAAGGTGCTGAAAAAGGGGCTCAGGTCTCCGAGAGCGAGGCAAGCGTTCCAAAGGCCTGTGCTTTCCGTTGCCGGAAACCTGGAGGAAATGAAGAGGATAATTGATGAGGCACTTGTGGTGCGTGGGGTTCGAAGCCTCGCTAGCTATAACGCCATGATAACGGATTTGTACGCGGAGAGTGAGTTTGCGCATGCAGGTAAGATGCTGGATGAAATGAGGCAGAAGGGGTTTAGACCTCTGGTATCCATGTATGAGGCAAAGATAGCGGCGCTTTGCCGGGAAGGAAGGGTTGAGGATGGCATAAGAGTGTTGGAGGTGGAAATGGTGGCTAATGACTGTGTCCCTACGGCGAGATCCTATAATCTTTTGATGGAGGGGCTTTGCGTGAAAGGGGAATCGACAAGAGCAATGAGATACTTGGATAGGATGGATAGACAACTTGGTTGTGTTGCCCAGAAGGAGTCATATGAGATTCTGGTGGATGGTTTCTGCGCTGAAGGACTCTTTCTTGATGCGGCTAATGTATTGGAGAAGATGCATAGGAGGAAATATTGGCCCGAGTGTAAGATTTTTGGCAGGGTAATCCAAGGACTCTGCTCCATTGGAAGGATATATGAAGCCCTATTATGGCTTGAGGAAATGCTCAGCCAAGGGAAGATGCCCGAGGCTTCTGTTTGGAGCTCATTGGTAGATGTGCTGTTTGGTATGCCAACGATTGAAAAAGATCCATACATGGATGTTCTGCTACATGATTTGTTAACTGTTGATTAACGACCTTGCGGCATTGTTTAATGAACACTCAGGTAAGTAACTAGGCATAATCTTCTCTATAATTCAACCTAAAATTTGGCTAGCTAACAATTTTGAATATTCAACTATAAGTAGAATTGCTTATTTTATTTCAAAGAAGATGTAGGGTTACAATTTCAAAATTTGTTCTATTCTACCTTTTATTTAACATTTGACATCCTTCGAAGTATGTTCGCAAATGGACAACTGGAAAAGGAGAAAATAATGTCAAATTTGGTTAATGTTTTTTATTTGACAAGTAGTTTTTCCTCCACCCTTGCTCAATCATAATACTATTTTCAAGGTTGAAAATCTCTTTGGAAAAGTAGATGTTATGTTTTCATTGGGAAACTCGTCATGCTTATGATTATTGAAACTATGGCTTCGTTTGAGACAGCTTCTTACTGCTTCTTAAAACGGTTTTCTAGTACAAACATTTTAATTTTTTATAGAAAACTGCCTAGTTGTTATGACTGTGCTAGTGATTATGCCAAGTCATAAACTGAAATGCATGAAAATTGATTTCTTGTTGAAGTCATCAACTGCCATATTTGCCATATTAATTAGGACAATATTGAATATCAAAGTCATACTATTTTTTAATTTCCTTCCATCTCCTTCGGTGACGTTCATGCTACTTTTGTGTGAATAAATATTTCAAACTTCAGGGATCAGTGAAGAGCTCTACTTGGATGTTGTACAAGTAATGCCACTATATCTTTAGTTCAAAGATGACATCAGCCAATTCTAAATTATGTTGCATCAAATAAATCTTATGCGGCTTGACTTATTAGAAGGCATATGCTATTGCTTTATCGTGTAGCATGAGTACATATTTAAGCTTTCGTAATGAGGCATCACTATAAACCTAGAATCCCTTATATATATTGGGCACTATAAGTACACAGAAAATGTCACTAGAAATCTGTTAGCATTTGGAATCTTAACCTGTTTTCAGTCCACCCAAATTCAATTGCCTTGTACGTTAGCCAGGATGATGATATCACCTTTTACAACAAGGCATTCATGAAGCATTATAATTGTAAATAAATTTAAGAAAACTGCATACTTCCATATGTTTTGTTATTTAGATCAATCAATAATGCTATTATCTAAAACGGCGGCCTTTCGATGACCCGGTTAGGAGAGTAGAGGTATTAGATTTGACTTATGTTAAGAAAGGTAGGGGTAGACCTAAAAAGACTTGGTTAAAAAATATTAGGAATGACCTTTATTTATTAGATTTAAACGAGAATTTGACTTTTAATAGGACACAATGGAGAAAAATGATTCATGTAGCCGACCCCACATAGTGCATGGGATAAAGGCTTGATGTTGTTGTTGTTGTTGTAATAATGCTATTATCTATTGATCAATGAATGGTCATCAACGCTGACCACATGCCACAAAAAGGAGATGTGATCAAGCTAGAAAGAATACTTGGAGAACTTTTACATTTAATCGATGCTCTCAGAGAATCTCCAAGATGATGGCAACCTAGTAGGCAATCCATGTATGAAGTAAACAAGAATGCCTTCTATGAAAACGATGATGAATTGATCCAAGTACAAGTATTATGCAATTCATAAAATGTGTGAAGTTGATAAATTTATTAGTAAATCGGAATGACATCATTAGGAGGCACGTACTTGTTTTAAAATACCATATTTGTGAGTCTAGCTTCCTAGATCTTGAACTAATGATATCTGAACTTGAAGTTGACCATAGAAAATACCTTGCACCCTATTGATAGTGCTTTAAATGAATCGAGCTGATCCAAGTCAAGAAGGAGCTTTCTTAAGCTTCATTTTGTTTTTCAAAATCATGTTCGAGCCCGAGCTCAATTCAATTATTTATAGTAATGTTCAAGTATCTCCTGGATTATCTTCATTAGACAATCCTCTATATGATGCAATTGTTCGGGAATGATGTAATCATTAGATATCTTGTTGAGCAAGGAACTATCACAATCTTCACGATGAATCATATTTTGGTTCCTAGTTTTTGACACTTTTTGTGCATAGGTATTTTGAATCCAAAGTTATTCGTGATAAAATACTTAGACTTTACTAGAGAAATGAATAAAGCCCACAAAGCAAAAAGGGGTGAGAAAGAACATAGATCTTAATGAATCTGTTAGAGAATTGGTTTATAATGAAACCAATTGAACTCCTTTGAGTCGAACTGAGCTATGAAGAATAAATTTGGAGATTGAGTTTGAGGAAAACTTTAAACATATTATCTTAGATGTTGCTATATGAATTTTTGAATAAGATTCAAATAAGATCCCTCGTGCCTACTTTTAGACTACTGACCCTTTATTTGTAGATGGAGCTTTTATGATTTAGGATATAAAATTGGATACATAATATGTTTATATAAAGAATGCATAAAATGGAATCTGTGTTGTTGGTTGTTTTTTAGACATTTTAAACTTGTAATCGACTGTCAATAAATTTGGACAATTTCCAAATTATAGTGAGTTCTTATAGCGATAACTAATTGTCAATTTGTGAGTACTCTAGGTAAGTTGCTAAGTTCTTTAAGCGAATAGGCTTGCTGATGAGTGACTTTGTGAGTCCATCAAAGAGTTTATTAGAACAATGCAGAAGTTCATGTTAGGCTAACTCTTGGACTACTTGATGAGATCGATTCTAGGTGACTCGAGGCTTGGAGTTACTTCAAACTTCATGAGTTATAAGTGATTCAAGCAGATTAACAATCAATGACTTATTGAAACCAGTTTAGATTTTCAAAATGAAATGATTAATGTGATCTAGATGAATATAGGTGTGCAAAAACTAGAAATGACATTGTTATCTATTTTTCCAGTGGAAAACTTCTATGATATTTATGTGAAGCTTATCTTGTTCAGATTCTGATGGTTGCAAAATTTTTTCCTTAAATTTGAATATATAATATGTTATTGATTGCTACTTATTTTTTTAAATTTAAAGTTGTGATAGATTATGAATGGAATAGTTTTTAATTTAGAAAAGATTGATGAGTTTCTAGTGTAGATTTTTTTTTTAAATATTTCTTTCTTTTTTACCTTGTTGTTGCTTAGCAGACTTAGATGGAAATTTTTGTTTAGTGTTGCATGAACACATTTTTTATTTGGACCCCTTCAAAATCAGGATACATGATATTAGTCATGTATATCTAAAAAAGTTAATTATCTTTAGGACTTTTAAATCATTGTCGTGAACTCTCCAATTTATTGTTGGAGATTGAAGTTAAAACACCGTAGAGAAACAAACAAGAAATTAAAAGCAAAGGGAAGTAAAATGACATCAGGATTTAACGTGGAAGAATTCAAAATAGGGAAAAAGACGATGAAGCCACACCACACCAAGAAATCCACTATAAAAGTAGAGAGAAGTAAGTATAGATATCTCTTCTTTCTCACTCTTTCATTGCTTCTCTTCTCTTTTATATCATTCTCACAGTTCTTCTGTTCTAACTTCTCACAATAATAGAGAAAGTCAAGTTAATAAACCACAAAGGGACGCAACCCTTGAGAAAAACAAGAAAGATAACTGCCCAGTTCGCCTCGAAGCGCTGTGGCGCCAGTTTGGAGCACTGCGGCGTTCAAGCCTCTATTTGATGATATTGCGAGGCTCAAACGCACAGTATTGTGGTGCCACACAGCGCCGCGGAACTGAATCTAGAGCGCTGCGGCGCTCTGCTCTATGTTGATCAGCACTGGGGCACGTGCGAGCACAGCACCGTGGCACTCGGGTGCACATTTGAACCCTAGCAGGGGGTAAACCCCCCTCACCACCTGTACCTCTAAGTGAGCACGAAAATTTTCTTGAGGTGGAGTTAGGTGGTCGGTAGTTAGGTAACGAAAGAGCAGGAAAAAGATAAAAGAGAAGAAACACGAACCCGGCCATCTCCAAGATTGGTGGGTGATCCAAATTCCCTCTCCAAGGGACCTCACTCCAATCTCTCAAGATCTCATGAGACTCAAGCAAAGAGAAGGAATTTTTTTATCATTCAATCATGCATTAGCTTTAGAAGAAGAACATAAGGGTTATAAATAATCACGTACAAAAGACTCATGAAATAAAAGGACGACAATGCCCCTAGGGCTTACATACAACCTCCCAGAAGAAAAAGATAAAACGGAAAAACAAATACACATAAATAATAAAAGCTACATAACATAATAAAGAAAACAAATACATGAAATGACTAAAAAATAAATAGACTCGATCGTGGCTGTAGATCGACGGCCACGCCTTTGATATACTCTCCATGCTCCGATGTCCCCATGATATTAATCTTCAGTTTCATACATCCATGTTACTAATAAATAGTCATTTTTTATATAGGGCTTTCAAAATTTAATGATAAGTTGAAAAAAAAAAACTCTTTAAGATATATAGGTCCTATTATACTTAATGTACAGTAAGATTTAAAAGATTGCAATGTATCAAGTATTGTATTTAACGTCATTAACTTCTATTTAGCTCTTAAGCTTTTATTTCTGATAATAGTTTCCTCAATCTTGAAACACTTGCATTCCAATTATTGAACCTACAGTAATTTATGTTGCCAATATCATTGTCTATATGTTTTAAAATTTTAGTATATGAAACTCCATTGTTTTCAACTTCATTTTATACCTGAAAAAGTGGAGCATTTATCAATATATTTGAATTATGTACTGGATTCTTTTGAAGCTATATTGCCAACTTAAGATCAAATTCAATGACAATTATTGTTGGATAGGATGTTGTAATTCTTGCAACAAATTTTGTAGCCAAAAAGATTAATAATTGCTAGATGTTGCTGCAATATATTATGCTTCATAAGATGATAGTGTAATAATATCCTTCGTCTTTGAGGATGAAGAGAAAGTAGTGATACTTATATAGAAACAGAAAACTCTTGCGTTCTTCATGAACGCCTACCTATTCATTGTGTGAATAATTGAATAACCTTGCGTCTCTACTATAAGGATAGTGTGGTTGAAAATTCCATCGACCTTTTAGATATCTTGGAGTTTGCTTTATTTTAATTTAATAAGATTCTATGGGTGCGACCATGTATTTGCTTACATGCCCAACTCCATAAGCAATATATGGTCTGCAGATGATCAAATAGCTCAACTTGCCTATTATTTCTTTGAATTTCAAAGGATTAAGTTATTTTTCTTCTTATTTTGATGGCTTATTGATACGGGAGTGTTGGATATGTTACAATCCTGTATCTAAAAGACAAGCTTTTCAAAAATTACCTTGGTAGATTTCTTTTAAAATATGAAAT